GTCATCTTGATGACTCACAGCGACGTAAACAATTACGCTGTTTCCCCCTGCACACCATTGTAATGCCCCGTGACTTGTCGTCGATTCATTATTCATACTTAGGGCATTATTATTCCATTGTGCGCTGTGCAAAATGGGATCATTAGCACTGAATATGAGAATGTGAAAAATGGATATATTGGGGAAAATTGTGGTGGATATTGTAGGTAGAAAACCCTAAACAATCCTGACTATTAGCAGATAAAGAATAGTAATTTTCCCCAAAGTAATTAGGATTAGCATAATATGACAGTGAATGCATGAATGATGCATACTTGATTGATATGTCGATGCAAGCACTGTAATGAGTCCCTTATCTCCACTCTCCAATGTAGGCTTTTATGCAGAGCGTAGCCCAAGGTGGCATCTACTGTAGTTCTACACCTCCTTAAGGGGACTGTATTAAGGAGCGCCCTGCGTCACACACACATTCATACAAAAGCAGTCACTGAGCAGTGCTAGCGTCTATCATGTAGTAACTGATTGAGGATGGTCCTTTTATCTTGACAGGCTCCCACTTAGAGCCAGACCAGGAAATATGATATGGCAGCTCATGTTCTCAGAGAGACTGTGTGTGTGCGCGCGCGCACGTGTGTGGGGAGGAGGGTGCCATGCTCCGAGTGTGCAAGTGTGGATATATGTGTCCTTCAGCAGCACTTTGCGTCAATCTGCATATTAGCGTGCAGCTGCACAGCATTATCAACAACCTCACATGTCGTCAGTCACTTTGAGCTGCTTTTAAGTGACAGCTATCGATTGGAGGTTTGCGTTTGTGCAGAAGCATCAAAGCAGCACCTTGCCCTCTGCATCCCACTTGAGATTGTAACTCTAGAGTACCCGCGTCGAATGCAGCACCAGTACAGCATGTACTTGGCTTCGGAAACTCATTCTTCAAGCAACATCTGCGTGCATCTGTGTGTAGGTGGGTGTGTGTTTGTGTTCTCTAAGTGTGTGGAATGTGATGTCTTAAATTGAGCGCCACATTGTTTCTTGACCCTGCAGCTTTCTCACAACTTAATGGAGTTTTTTCCTGTTCAGTGACTCACCGAGGATCTGTGTATTGAGTAATTGTGTGCATACTTTACAGTGTACAAGTACACTGTATGAGTAAACAAACAAGTACATACAGAGCGAGTCTTTGAGGATCATTTTATTGAAATTACAGGAAGAGAACTGCTTTCATGTCTAATAGTATTAAATAAAGCTGATACTTATATTTAATGTGCATTGTTGTGTTATATTTGTCTATATGATTAGATTTATTTACCTTTTACTCCACTATATTGGAACCAGTATCTTCTTTTTTCTCAAATCAAATTGCAGTGTCGGTGTGGCTTTAAGAAAAGCAATAACCTGTTACTGTGTATAATCCACACAGCATAATCATAATTACTTTAAAATAAAATTACATTGTTTTTTGATGAAGTCGTATCACTTGGGGTAATTATGTATGTTACCAAAAGTTGTTGTTTTTTCCTTTTTCCGAGGGATTATTGCAAATCTTAGCAAACTAGGTAACGAGTATTCAGTTCTGAGAGGGGAACCAAACATAACAGATGGATTGCTGACGTGTTTTTAATCACCAGTGTTAGCTTAACAAAAAAGTAATCTACATACTACTATTAATTTTCAATGCTACTTCCATTTAGCCTAATAAGGTACAGTATGAGGCACTAAATTATATGTTTATATCCCAAACAATTTTATGTTCTTTTCAGTTCAAAATATATTATATCTAATGAGGAATTCATTGAATATTTCCTTACACAAGTATATAAGAAAGCATATGTAGTAACAGATAAATCATGAATCTAAATTCATAGTAGAAATATAATGTATAAAATGTTTCTTTATGACTTATTGCTTAACTCTAGACTTTTAAAACTCCAACAAAAGAGTTCATATATCTATACAAAAACTGAAAGACTCAGGCTTTCTATAACCTCTATAACCATTCAGCCCGATAAAAGCACAAATAGTCTTAAAATGTCTCTGTATCTCTCAATTATTATTTTCCTTTTCAACAAAACAAGCCTTTAACTCTTTTTACCCTGTGGCTACAGTTCAAACATTCCACATTACAGAATCATTATACGAATATCAGCTGCAGTAACTTCACATTGGAAGAGCAAACTGGATCTTTTACTGAGTGTCAATTCAGGCTTTTTGAGTGTATTTGACTGACCTGAAATCACCCCCTTCCTCAGTCTGCCTTTCTTCTGTACACACCTTTTCACTTGCCTCCACCTTTCTTCCGCTTCTCTCTCAGTTTAGAGAGATTTGAATGTAGGTCAGCAATCTCTGAAATCCTCATCCAAGTTTGATAAGTGCACTCCAGGTGGTAGTCGGGTAAATATTAAATTTGTAATTGGGGGTTCAAAGTATCCACGATTTAAATATTCTGGTTTCTGATTGTTAAAGAAAATAAGCCATCGCCCTGAGGACCTCGATAACATAATATGTAGTTCTCTAAATGTGCTCGTAATACATTTTTAAAAGTGTTAGTTTGTAGAATCTGCAAACATTTAAAGGGTCTGTTTACCCAAATGACCAGAGATGCCAAATGAAATTTTATTTTTGGCACTCACAGTAATGAAAATAGCATTTAAACATTTCAAAGGCCTTTTCAGACAGTTACAGAGGAACACGGGTGTGATATGTTCAAGGGAATACTCTTAATAAATAATGAGTTTACTCTCATAACCAGTGTAGGTGCTTCCATGAGAGACACAGATGTCACTCAGCATCAGAAATTCACTTGATGGGAATTCTTTTCAAGTTGTCTCCACGAGGTGCGTGCAATAAGAAGGCTACGCTGTTTGATGTTTGTCAGTATGGAGTGAAAGAGTCTAAAGAAAATTCAGTTTGCCTTTCTGAAATGTAATACATAATAATAAATCCACAAAGCATACACAGCAGTCTGTTTGGATTGTTGTGATTATGGGTCTGCTTTTTGTGCAGCACCCAAGAAGAAGATATTTGGAGAAAATTGTGTTTTTATACCTATATAATATATAGTAAAGGTTTATAGACCTGTGTTGTACACTGTGGAGATATATGAAGGCACACTGATTTTGTATGCTGTGTCTGAAAATACACATTAATGTCTGTTTCACAACAGCAAATAATCACGGGAATCCAGTGGAACTGGGAGGTCAGATAGTTGTCTCTTAATCAGGTCAATACAAATATCTGCATGGGTAAATATCACTGAAGACAGGAAGGAAAGATTTTTATTTTTTATGTCTTTTTGTAATTGGTTAAGCCAAAACCATCAATTAAATATATTTTTAAAGCTCAGCCGGGCTCTCTTTAAATACGGATTAAAATTTCAAAATTATACGTTTGCTAATATAACAATGGGTGAGTGCACTGCGGCTACTTGGAAAAATAGTCCTTGATTGCATTTATTTTTAAGAAAATGACTGGTTTCTCTTAATATCGCCTGTAGACTTCTCATTCCGGCTCTTCATATTTCCACAATTAAACGCAGCCTCGCTCTAACAGCTGGCCATTAATCAGTCCTCGCGCTCGATTTCTCTTCCACCTCTAGTTATGATTTTCACATTACTCCACACTCATTCGCCGCCGCCCGACAGGAAAGTGACCCCAACCCCCTTACCCCCAGTCATCGCTACCGCAGCAGACGCGCACCTCAAATAATCGGGAAAGTGAGATGCTCGCATAAAGCCGCACACGGGCACACACGGGCGAGAAAATAAGGCGTTGGAGTAAAGAACATGTATGATTGTATGATTGATGGTAAGTTGATGGGGTAACCGCAATGCCAAGTCCCCACCCCCAAACCCCTCCGCAGCCCCACCATCTCGCAGCCATTATCCTTTTCTAATTACACTTTCCTTCTGAAACAGTGGATCAGAGGGCACCATTGACTGCTTTTAATCCGCCACCAAATTTTAATTAACACAGACGTGACCCCCGTCGCCGATACATACCGGAGAACGTCGAGATCACAATAACTCATAAATCACAGCCACAGATTTCATTCCCCCCGCTTTCCGCCGCTGATGAATTTCCAGATGGGGCCTTGTGGCTGTTAATGTCAGAAAAATATGCGAGAGAGAGAGAGAGAAAGCGAGAGACAGAAAGTGTGTTAGGGAAAGAAAAGGACGGAGGAAAAGCGTAAGAAGATGAACAGAAAAGCTAAATTGTAAGAAATAGTGTGTCTTTATGTCTCTGTGAGAGAGATGGAGTTGAAGAAAGAGAAGGAGAAATGGCAGCAGCTTTGGTATGCTGTCAACCTTTGAGAGATTTGTTACCGGGGAGAGGATTATGGAGGCTGTGAAATGGGGTTGTGTTAATATGCCGGGTGTTGAGGAACACGATGTGGGCCAGCCAGCTTCACAGCCTCCAGAAATCAAAAGGCTGAACAAGTGAAACGTGACGTTTTGAAGAATTAATTGAGTGTATGTGAGTGTATAGTGTGTGTAATATCCTTTAATCATTGATTTTAAATCACAAGCCTTTCATAAATAACCATTACTTTAATTAACCTACTTAATGAAATGAATGCATAGGGGTTATCATTAAACAACAAACTGACAAACAGTGATGCTCCCTTATTCTTACGATACCGGTTGTCTTATTCGAGTGTGTATATCTGCGCGTTTGCGCATGCATGCAGTGTATCAGACTACGTATGTGCGGAGGTGGAGGTGGGCAGGGTGCCGGGTTTTGTTATTACTAAATCGCTCATCCATGCTACTAATTAAGATGCATAGCATCCCCCTATGAACGTCAGTGTCGCTAATTATCAAACAATGTAGTGCTCACTAGATATGAGAACTGGCAGCCTCTGTAGTCATGTTACCAACCTATTACTGCTACAATTACCAAGTGCCTGTCATTCTCCTTGTTAGTCATCTGCCTTAATTTTTTTCTTAACTAATGTCTTTTTTTTCTTCCTCTCCTTCTCCCCTTCTCCTCCTTTCTGTCTCCAGGATATGGCTTTGTGGACTTCGACAGCCCAGCTGCAGCACAGAAGGCTGTGTCATCTCTCAAAGCCACTGGGGTGCAGGCCCAAATGGCCAAGGTAAGGAGTGTCTAAAAACAAGTTGGCGTCCTCACTTCCTCGTGCATTATCTTTAGCAATTTTTCGTTTTTGCTCATTCAGCTCCTGCCAGGTGTTTAGTATTGCACATTTAACAAACTTAACAAGTTTGCCATGAAGGACTTTTTATCTTGAAGAGAGACTCCTAAATGTGGGCCTCAAACTGCATTTGAGTGCCATTAGACAACAACTTGGGAAGTGACACTGGTGCATGTATGTCTCTGTTATCTTACTGATGCTGAAACTGGAGTCTAGCACAAGATACGTGAAATTGTGGATCACTTCTTTCCTGTGGTTATGTGGGCTTTTTGTGTTGTGTTTGACAGTATGCATACAGTATGTGCTGGATTACAGTGCTCCATGGCACTTGTGGTTTCCAGTTAGTGAGCTGGCCCCTCTCTAACTGAGGTTTGACTAGTCGCTTGTGCTACGTTGTCGAGTGTTATTAGCCTGCTAAAGTGGAAGCAGATGAGACAAGCTGTTTGAGTAGTACAAAAAGGGCCCTAGTGAGTTGTACAATGGAGACAGGTTGATAGGCATATGTGGAGAGGTGTAGCTTAGAGGAAACTGCACACTGCCAGGGTATGATCTTATTCACCAATTTCCTATACAATCTTGTATTTTATGTCAACACTGTGGTTGCATATTTATTGTTGGGCATTTGGCTGTCTGACAGAAGAGCCGTTTTACCGGGAAATGCATTTCAGAGATATTGTTTGGTGTTTGGCAACCCTCAGGCAGTGATTATACTGTTCTTTTCCCATTTTTGTTCTCTAATTTTCTTCATTTCCCTGTTGACTGCTCTGAGAGTCACCATATTAGAAGGCACAGCAGGGCCCTCTCTCTGGACATCTATGACAGACAAGCCTGCCTGACTTAACCAGGCTATTCTTGTACCCGTCAAACATTTGTTAATGTCAGAATACCTTAATAGGTGAAGAAAATGTCAGTAGCACTGAAACAATAAATATGCTGATGACTATTTGAGGGTGCACCTTGAGTGATTTTTCTTGAGACGAGATGGCGTGCATTTGATCCAATCCAAAAATCCCCCCCTCCCACCCTCGAAACCGAAGAAGACCTGATGAGATGGGGAGCGGCAATGGCTCCGGTGAAGATGACAGAATTGATGGTAACGATGAAGGTGGCAATTATTTTGATCAAATGGGATGAGATCTGACAGGAGGAGATGATATTCCGTGTGGTGCTCAGGTGTGCCATTTCTCAAATGCGCCATTTGCCCGTTTCCTTTCCCCACCAGTGTCCTTCTTCCAATATTTATAAGAGGGCAAGCTCTCTGAATACTGATAAGAAACCATGCTCTTTGTCCATCACATTTTAAGACCACTCTTTGCATTGCTCCCCTTCTCTCAGTCAATATTTTCATGAGAGGGGGCTCGTGTCCCAAAACAAAAGAGCTGACCTTTATAGAAATCTTGCCGCAAACACATTCTCAAAATCATTTTCTATTAGCATTTGTGTATAATAGCTGATTTTTTTGAGTGCTCCCTTGTTCTATTCGCACAAATGGTAAGACCAGCGTTCTCTGCTGCAGCTCTATGCTTTTATCACACTTGTGAGGGACATTAAGTAGTAGTTTGCTTTTATAGACTCCCTCTGTATCTCGCTAATGTGTCTTTACCAGGTAGCACTGCCATCACTCTATCGACTCCTCACCCAACACTTCCAGCCTAGCCCCTCACCATTTCTTTTGCTTCGTGCCGTTTTCTCTCAGCATTGTTTTGGGTTTTGTTTTGTTTTTTTGGTTCTCCTGCACACACAAATATACAGACACACACACACATTTGTATTCACATCCACCAAGTGTTGCCCTGCGAGACATCCAATGAGCAGTTTTTCCTCCATCAATAATTAACAGCGTGTTATCTTTGTGTCTGCCTACCTGTCAAGGTGTCTCTCACACCCCACCCTCCTCCCGCTCGTTCTGTCATGCCGAGTAGCATTCCCGCAGCGGGAACGGATGAAAATACAGGTGAGCACCGAGGAGGGTGCAAATCAGAAAGACTACTGCTAACGCCGTGGACGGCTTCCACAATAAGAACATCCAGCCTCGTTCTCTCGCTCCCTCTGCTCCATTTTGTCACTCCACAACAAAGTAATAAACGAATCGCAAGTCGGAGCCAGAGGCTTTGAGCTCATTAAATAAAACTGTCACAGTAATCAAGTTGCACCTTTTTTCCTGCCTTGATGCCATTAAAACACTTTTATTAAGGTGCCTTATTTTAAACACAGCTGCAAACCAGGCAAGAAATGGAGAGAAAGGCAAAGGATCACTTGATTTCCTCTTCTTCCGCCAGTGAAGCAGCCCGCTGTCTCTCTCCTCTTACTCCCCTTGGAATTTGAAATACCAAGGCAGTAGAGATGAAACGTTACCTTCCTTTTGTTTTGCCCTCCCCTGGGGATGGTGACAGCGAGAGGGAGGAGAGGAGCCATAATTAAGACACCTAAAGGACACTTCCCCCCGTGCATCCCTTCCTGTCACTCACCTCTACACAAGTCACAGATAAGAGCACTTAACATAGGTGTGGAGTGCGTGTGTGTGTGTGTATTTGAATGTGACAGTGTATTATTATGTGCATGTTTGTCTGCACTACATTCCCTGAATTACACATTTTTTGCATCATTTTGTAACATTTTTTATATAACTGTAACTAATTTTTAATTTAAACTAGGATGCCTGTCATTTCATCTAAAATGGAAAATTACATTTTGTAAAACACACGTTATACCTTATTAACCTTATCACCTTGTCTTTGCGTACAAAGAGTTGAATGACGGGGGATAAGCTCACTTTAGTATAAAGAGTTGTGAAAACGACCGACTGGCTTCATCTAAGACATGAAATGAAAAAAACGTGGGGTGTATTTCTAAATCTGGAACAGGCACTTTAGCATTTTGCTTTCTAACTAGTCAAGCGTCTCTGTTCTAGCTATGCTCTTTGAATAAAGATCTTCACATCCATAAGTACAGCAGGTGTGTCGTGGGTTTGTTGAATTTTATCCCATTTCTTAAGAACATGACTGTCAGATCCTTTTCATCTGCACCTACCTCCTGGCACAATAGACTCTTCCTTTGTTCTTCATTTGTCCGATTTCTCAAATTTCTTAAGGACACACTGCACACAATGCCACAAAACACCAAATTTTCAGCTTAGATATCTTTGTAAATCTTGTTTCAAAAATACTATTTTATGTCTGTCAGTTTGTGTTATCATTGGCATTTCTGGCATAATTGAGAGGAAATTGGGTTTTTTGTGTGACAGACTACTAGCAACAAAGTTCCTACATATACAATTTTTAAATTGGTTCTTTGCTAAATTTTCTGTTATAAAACTGTCTCATCCTTTGATTTAAGTGCCTTTTGTAATCTCGAATGAGTCGGGTTTAAGTTGCTTAACGAACATATATATATATACATATATGTATATGAGTAAAAAACCTGCTAATGTTCAAAGAAAAGCTTTAAAAGAACTTCAGAAAGGCTGGAGAAATACTGAGCAAAATCTAAAACAATGTAGCTTGGCTCAAGTCTTTTTCATGGTACTAGAACTCTTAGCAAAAAGGTGAAAGGGATGAATAAGTATTAACCAAAATGTATTAGTTTTCTTATTTATCAGTAGAGGTAGGCACAGATGAGTGCTTATATAAATAACATGTTTTTAAATAAGAGGCGCTTTTATGCTGCTTTAAAAAAATTGTATAGATTAGTGTGATGTGTACATAAAATGTACTTTTTACATTGTCATTAACAGGCGCGTGTATGACTTTATATAAATTAAGGTGGGAAAATCTGGTAAATCTTAACATAGTGTAACAGGAGACCTTAATAGGATTCACTAGGGTAAGTGTGTTCGTGTTTTGTGCATGTGTGTAATACGGTTTGTAGGCACGCACTTGCCTCCTGGCACCATAGACTCTATTCTCCGTGCCACTTTGTTCAGGTAGCTTTCCAAACTGAGAAAACCGACACATCGAGCAGACAGAATGATAACAGGTAAACGCCGCGTCTAGCTTCGCAGATGCAAACCTGTCAACCAGCCGCTCGCCTCACTCTCCACAGGCTGCCATTTTCCCCTTGAGCCAATCAGACTGAATTATGGGAAGGGCACCCTCGATTGTGGTGTCTGTGTCGGAGAGGTAATTCCGCCTGACAGCTGCTTGCTTTCAGACAACAGCCAGTCTTTATGGAAATCATCCCTCCCTATTCTCGCTCCAGTCGGCTTCTGCTGATAACAGCCCGGATGAAAACAAAGCTGTCCTTTTTGTATTTTCTTCTCTCTTTTTTTTTTTTTTGACTCGTTCCTCTCGGCGTGGACAACCTAGAATTAGAAAAAAACAACTCTGACACCCTATGGAGGCTAACCAGGTTCACCCAGCTTTCTATAGCTAATTGTTATATGAACTTTGGATCTTGCTAGACATTGTCTGATACAAATAAATATACATGCATTATGTGAGAATAGTATACATAGTGTCAAAAGTGTCAAAACTAAACAATGGTGTTCATATTAGAGAATTTAAATAGTGGGGATGAAGACTTTGTGAATAGCATCTCCATCCTTACCCTTGTTTAAATAGCCGATATTTATAAGGTTCGCAGAAGCTGCAGGCAGACAGAAAGGCGCTACTTGCCCTTCACATTACGGAGGGGAAATTATGCTAAAAGCATCATTAAAGTGCCTCCATGAAGTGAATCCCAAATGTTTATGATAACGCAGTGCACACACCGGCCCTTCAACCAGTAGTCACTGGCGAATGCTTCAGATGGTTTAACGGTGTGAAACGAACCGGAGTGTTCAGTCCTCCTGCTCGTTCCCTCTCTCCCTCTCATGCATTCTCGCTTTCACTGCCTTTCGCTTGCTCTGTCTCCTCCACTGTCTTTTTCTTTCTCTCTCCCGGGGAAAGTTTTCTGTCAATATCACATTTATAGTCATGTGAAATGCACGGATCCCCCTATGGGTG